GAGGAAGGAAGGAAGGAAGGAAGGAAGGAAGGAAGGAAGGAAGGAAAGAAAGGAAGAAAGAAAGAAAAGTATATCTTAGCTGGGCAGTGATGGCACACGCCTTAATCCCAGCACTTGGGAGGCAGAGGCAGGCGGATTTCTGAGTTCGAGGCCAGCCTGGTCTACAGAGTGAGTTCCAGGACAGCCAGGGCTATACAGAGAAACCCTGTCTCGAAAAAACAAAAAAAAAAACAAAAAAAAAAAGAAAGGAAGGAAGGAAGGAAGGAAGGAAGGAAGGAAGGAAGGAAGGAAGGAAGGAAGAAAAAGTGAGAAAGGGAAGGGGGCAAAACAATGAGAAAAGGAGGTAAAGTACGGGAGAGCAAAGGTGGAGAGCTATGCCCCAACACAAAATAACCTTCAAGCTCTGTTGTTAAAATAAGAAAGGTGCACAAAGTTGACCTGATAGAAGCTGTTTTAAAGAATATAAAGAGCAGGGCATGATGGTGTAGGCCTTTAATCCCAGCACTTGGGTGGCAGAGGCAGGTTTACAGAGTGAGTTTCAGGACAGCCAGAGCTACACAGAATCTCTGTCTTGAAAATCCAAATAATAATAATAATAATAATAATAATAATAATAATAACAATAATAATAGCAGCTACACAGAGAAACTGTCTCAAAAATGCAAGTAATAACAACAATGGCAACAACAACAACAATAATAATATAAAAAGGGCTGGAGAGATGGCTCAGTGGTTAAGAGCACTAACTGCTCTTCCAGAGGTCCTGAGTTCAATTCCCAGCAACCACATGGTGGCTCACAACCATCTGTACTGGGATCCGATGCCGTCTTCTAGTGTGTCTGAAGATAGTTACAATGTACTCATTTAAATAAAATAAATAAATCTTTAAAAAAATAATAATAATAATATAAAAAGAAGCAGGAGTCCCATGCTATGGTGCAACCTGTAATCCCAGCACATCAGAGGCAGAGGCAAATGGATGTTAAGCCCCAGACTAGACTGTTTTTAAACAAAGGAAATCCTCTCTTCAAAAAAAAAAAAAAAAAAAGCAAGCCAAGAGCTGGAGAAATGGCTCAGTGGTCAGTGGTTAAGAGCACTTCCAAAGGACCAGGGTTCAAAATCGAGCATCTATATGACAACTCACAATTATCTGTAAATCACATTCCAGGAGACCTGACACCCTCACACAGACATACAGGTAGGGAAAATACCAATGCACACAAAAATAAATTAACTAATTTTTAAAAAGCTAGGTGGTAGTGGCACAGGCCCTTTATCCCTGCACTGGTGGTAGGGTGTCGGGTGTGCAAATATACATGGATCTGAGTGAGTTCAAGGCCAGCCTGGTCTGCGGAGTGTTTTCCTGGACAGCCAAGGCTATACAGAGTAACGCTATCTTGAAAAACAAACAAACAACAAACAAGAAAAAAACAAAACAAATAACAACAACAATAACAATAATAAAGCATAGTAACCCTCATCTGAGTCTCAACTTGAACAGATGCTGAGTTCAAGGCTAGCCTAGATGCAGATCCTGACTTGAAAAGCACTCTGGGTGGGAGGGTAGGGAGGAAAAGAACAACAAGGGCACAGAGGCTACAGTTCCATTACTTGAAAGTTTCCTAAGCATCCTGCATGGCAAACGCTCACCTGCCTGTAGAAACAGACAGCACAACAAGTGTTAATACATTTTGGAGGACCAGGGCAGCCAGAGGGAGTAACCAAGAATCAGAGCTGGAAAGTTTCCAGAAGTGAGGGTGGCAGGAAAATGGCAGGAGAGTAAGAGGACTTGAGGGGAGGAACGCAAGTGTGAGGGCAAGAGGGCAGAGAAGCTGAGGGAAGAGGACAGGTTTTCGGCAGAGAGGTGGAACTGAAGAGTGAGGGGAAGTGGTGATAGAGAAAGAGGATCCCTCAGGAGGCTAGAATGGAGTAGGCCACAGGGCCAGAGCAAGGGCAGAATTGACCGTGAGGGAAGGGCAAAGGATGGGTAGTAGAGACACTGCAAGGACAGAACCAGAAGGAAGTAGGGCTTCGTACCAAGATGGTGGGTCTGGGACCACCCAGTGTCTTTGGCACCACGGCCTTCTAGGGCCCTTTTCTGCCCCCCACTCCTCACCTTACAATAGGAGTTGGGATTGCCTTCCTCACAGTAGGTGATGGGAACTAGTCCCGGGAAGAAGAAAGCTTCACAGGTAGTGGCCAAGAAACATAGCAACAGCTGCCACTTGAGCCCGTGGAGGCCAGGGCAGAACTTGGTTTTCACACCGCGACCATCAAGACTCATCTTAAAGGCTGTCTCAGGAACAAGCATCCTGGAGAGAGACAAGATGGAAACTAAAGAGCAAACGACCCACCAGGAAATGAAGCAATGAGGGGGCAGGGATAAGAACTTTCCAGAAGAACCGTTAGAGGTTCTTGCTAGCCTGTGGCTCAGGGCCCTGTTGCTAGAACACACGGTAGCGGAAGTTAGTGAGCAGGTGACGTGCGCATGCCTGCAGTTCGTGTACCCCGTGAACCTTGCCTGGAAACGGGCCAAACTTTTCGGCCATTTTAGCCAAGTGTCAAACTGCCACACAGGGGTGTGGTGAGGAGGTGGGGGAGGGGAGGCTGTTACTGGTTTCAACCTCATGAAGTCTTACTTTTGAGGGGTTTTTTTCCCCAAGACTAAAATTATGGCCCTGGGTGGGTGGAGGCTCAGTGAGTAAAGATGTTTGCTGTTAAGTCTAAGAACCACAGTTTGATGACAGCAACCGACACAGGGGAAGAGGAGAACTAACTTCCCTCAACACACACAAGTTCTACGACCTCCACAAATTTGTTTTAACATGGCATATGTCCCCGCACCGAATCAAATAAATAAATGTAATTAAACTGTAAAAAGAAAATAAAAAGAAAAAAATAAAAAAGAAAAAGAAAATACTCTTAACAGCCCACCCCTATCTTTTCTTAGCAGCAGAGCTTGTGAGGTACACTGGGAGAAGGAGCGTGCATGGGTGTGAAGATTTTACGGCCATGCATCAATGAACATCTTTAACCCCAGAATTCTGATGACCAAGGCAGGTGAATCTCTGGATCTTTGAACCTAGCTGGAACTAGGTAGCTAATTCCAGACCATTCAGAACCATACAATGAAACCATGTCTCAAAAAAGGGGGAGTACATCAAATCTCTACACACAGGAAGGTCCCCCACCTGCTTAGGGAAAAAGAGAGGAGACATGAGGGAAGGGACAGGATGACCAAGAGGGAGGCAGTGGCAGTGAGCGGGATATAAAGTGAATAAGTAAAATCTAATAATAAATAAACTAAATAAGTAATGTTTCTTAAAATAGGGGGACAATCAATCGAGTACTTTGATTTTAAATAGTTGTCTATTTAATGAGGTAATAAATAAAACAATGTAAGATTATTTTTATTTTGTTTTTCTTAAAATTATTTTACCTATTTGTTTTAAAATATAACTACCAGATTTGGAGGGATTTTATTTTATTTTATTTTATTTTATTTTATTTTATTTTAGACAGGGTCTCACTCTGTAGTCCTAACTGGCCTACAGCTTACTACATAGAACACACTGGCCTTTAACTCACAGAGCTCTTATTGGAGGCCATTGTGCCCCTGCCTTAGAAAGTTTTTTCCTTCCTTCCTCCTTTTTCCTCTCCCCTTCTCTCCCTCCCTCACTCTGCCTCCATTCCCCACTCCTTTTTTTTAAGAAACAGTTTCACTATGTAGTCCTGGTTAACTTACTGTATAGACCAAGCTAGTATCGAATTCAGAGAAATCCTTCTATCTCTACCATACACCTCCCAGTATTTGCTCTGGTTCAACAGAAGCCCTAATTATTTTTTCCTTAGTTTTTGAGACAAGGACTTGCTAACTTGCCCAGGCTGACCTTGAACTTACCCTGTAGCTTATGTAGACATTGAAATTGCAATGCCCTTGCCTCAGCCTCCTAACTTGGATTACATGTCTGTGCAACCTAGCCTGGTTTCTACTGTTTGCTGAACACCAGTAGGGGCTCTTTTCTTTCTACTCTTCTCTGGCCTGGAACAGAGATCTGTCTGGGATGCCTGGGATTAAGTGGAAGAATTAGAGGCAGGTAACACTGTACTGAGCTTAATTTTCTTTTGAATCTGTATGTCTCTCTGTTTCTTTTTCTTGCACTGTTGAACTAGCTAGGATTTCCAATAGAATATTGAACAGAATGCAGAGAATGGGCTTCTCAGCCTTCCTTCCCACAGTATTGGGGGGTATAATCATTCTTCTGTTACTGTTGATATCAACTCTATTTTTTTTTCATAGAGCTCTTTAAAAGATGAAAGATTTATTGAGGCTCATGCTTTCAGAGATTTAAAGCCTAGTCACGTAGTGAGGCGGGACATCATGGCAGAAGGATATACCAGAAAAAAAGTTATTATCTTCACATGAACCAGGAAGTAGGGAAGGCTGGAAAGGAGCCAGGAACACTACAAAGATGTGCCCCTGTTACTTACATATTTCTTTCATCCTTTAACCTCCTGATCCTCTTGCCTTTACCTCCTCAGTTCTGGAAATATAGGCACTTGGGAAAGGAGTTCTTCATGTACATGCTACACTAAAATATCATTCATTCTCTCATGGGAATTTTCCAGTGTCCATTTTCCATGGCAAGGTAGTAATTAATTGATAACTCTATTTTATGTGAAGTAACTGAAACCAGGAGAAGGAAACTTAATTTGCCCTACTCTACCTAGCTACTATATGAAAAGGCGATGCTTAGCCAGTCATGGTGCGTGCCATTCATCCCAGCAGGAGACAGGGGGATTAGAAATTCAGGGCTAGCCTGGGCTACACAGCTAGTTTGAGGCCAGTCTAGGCTACATGAGACTGTATCAGAAACAATCAAAGGGTAGGAAACTAACAGTAATACGAATAATAATAAAAGAAAAAAGAAGAGGCTAGAAAGAAGATCTAACACCTGATATAGTTATCAAATTAAATAGTAGAAAAGGGAAATGTTAAGTATGTAATAGTACAAAAATAACCTGATGCAATGCATCTGTTAAAATTCTGTCCATATCAATTGAGAATATTTCAAAACCAAATAACCCAAAAAGTTATATGGGACATGTGAATGTCAAGGGAGGAGATTGGATGATATTTGTGGTGATTTGAATGAGAAGGATCGCCATGGGCACAGGCTCCTGTATATCATTATGTACCCACAGTGTGGGGAACTGTTTGGAAGGATTAAGAATATATGGCCTTGTTGGAGAAGGTGTGTCACTGGGGCTGGGCACTGAGCTTTATAAAAACCCACACCCCTCCCAGTTAGTGCTCTCTCTCCTTATCACCCCCCTCCTCTCTCTGAATTGTGGTTGTTGTCTGAGGATGTGAGCTCTTGGCCCCTGCTCTGGTACTGTGCTTCATGCCTGCCTGTTGCTGTGCCCATTTCCCTGATGATCATGGAACTCTAACTCTCTGGAACGTGACCTTCAATTATTATTCAAAAATGGTTTTTTTAATAGATTGCCTTGGTTATGGTATTTTGGTCACATCAATAGAAAAGTAACTGAAACAATACCTAAAGAAATTAAACCATGGAGCTGGAGAGATGACTCAGTGGTTAAGGGGATTGGCTACTCTTCCAGAGTACATGGGTACAGTTCTCAGCAATTCACAACCTATCAAACCCCAGTTCCAGGAAATTTAGTGCCTCTTCTAGCCTCCATAGGCACCATGCACACATGTGGTACATATGCATGCAGACAAAACATCCATATTCCTAAAAAATAGAAACTAAAACATGATGTTTGTGATATGTGGTCATAGCAAACCATGGTGTTCTGGTCATATTAAACAACATATACTAATGTAGCAACTATATCTCAAACAGTTAATTTTCTAAGTTTCTAACTATGTAAAGATGTAAGGTGTCTTAGTTAAGGTTTTATTGCTGTGAAGAGACACCATGACCAAGGCAACTCTTATAAAGGACAACATTGAATTGGGGTGCTTTACGGTGTCAGAGGTTTAGTCCATTATCATCATGATGGAAAACATGGCAGTGTGCAGGCAGATGCGGTGCTAGAGAAGGAGCTGAGAGTTCTATATCTTAATCCAAAGGCAGCAGAAGGTGACTGTCTTCTGCAGGCAGACAAGAGGAGACTGGAATTCTATACTGGGCGTAGCTTAAGCACAGGAGACCCCCATAGTGACACACTTCCTCCAACAAGGCCTCACCTCCTAATAGTGCCATTAGCTGTAGTCTAAACATTCAAACATGAGTCTATGGGAGCCAAACCTATTTGAACCACCACATAAGATTCTACGTATCCAACAGTTCATTGTGTATACACCAATTTCAAATATTGGGACAAAGAAATATTGTGATGCCATGGAATCTTACTATAATTAAGGTATGTTCATAAACTACCACTCTAAAGTGTTCAAAAGGAAAAAAAAGTGTGCCATAGTTTATCAAGTACCAACCCCAGAGGACATACAGTATCTTTTATATCGTGCATATAGAGCCAGATTAGAAATATCTCCAGGGGCTTCCTTGGCTTTTTTCTTCCCAGTTTCTCCAGATGTAATTTTATTTCTTCTAAACAGATAACAGAAATCTGATCATGGTTTATTCCTCTTTAATCTACTGACCAGACCTTGTGGTACTAGCCTGTAAGAACAGCTACACCAGGATGCCGATTCAGGAAGATACAAAAATCAAGGTTTTCCTAAGCTACAGAGGGTGTTCAAGGAAGCCTAGACAACCAGGACCCTGTAATCAAAAGGAGAAAATATAAAAGGGTGCTCAAAAGAGAGGTCAGAGATAGACTGCCTGTCTAGCATGTGTAAATCCTGTTTGATTCTTTGTGCTGTTAATCATCATCACCACCATCATCACCACCATCATCATCCCCATCATCATCCCCATCATCATCAAGAAAGGAAGTGAGGCTAGCTGAAGAAATAGTTTTGTCAGTAGAGAAGATCTGAAGTCCATCTCTAGAAGCCACATGAAAAAGCCGGGCATTGTGGTTTGAGGTCCTAGAGCTGGGGAGGCTGAGACATCAGGTAGATTCCTGAATCATTGACTAGCCAGTTCTAGCCTACTCAGTGAGCTCCAGACCAGTGAGAGGCGCCCTTTCATAAAATTGTGAAGAAGCAATAGAGCATGGTGGCACACTTGAATCCCAGCTCTTAGGAGGCAGAGGCACACAGATCTTGGGAGTTCAAGGGCAGCCAAGGCTATACACTGAGACCCTATTTTAATAACAACAATAAGGATGGCACAGGGAAAGGAAGGCCTTAAAGGCCAGTTTACATTTAGA